GTGGAAATGTTAAGCATTTGTTTATTTGAAGTAAAATCTCTTTAGCCAACTACCATAAATATTGGCTGCCTGTCAGAAATGATGTACCCAAATTTCATATGTTTTACATTTCCTAGTGGTGACCCAACCCATACAATATTTTTGTATGATGACAGCTGTCATGAAAGTGGAGTACCTTAAATATACATTGGATTTTGATTAATGAGCTAATGGTGCTTCCCTGTTTAAAGTTATTAGCCCTGATGGAGGTTTTAGCCAAAGCATGCTCAGAGTTGACAATGATGTTGATTGTGTTATCCACGTGTTAGGGTGAGGCCAAAATGATCATATTGCCTATAGCAATGCTTTTTCAACTGCACAGCACAACTCATTACGGTACTAGGTTATGAAATCAATTTAGTCAATTTTATTAGTGTTGAATAAATACAAGAACCTAATTGATTAAAATAGTAACAAAAGTACTAGAGTACACTAAAGAATGTGTATAGGTATTGGTATGTGCAATCTGTGTTTTAATCATACATGTGTGTTTTGTGTGACTGCTGAGTCATTCTGTAGAAGTATTTCTGATTATGGATGACATTGAAACTAATCTGAGAAGCATTTGGGCTTCTTTCAGGTTTTTTTGTTGAAACTAAAGTTGTTTTAATTTTTGGGGGGTGCTTATAACGATCAGAGGGGTTTTCTTAGGCACAATTGTGCTTTATCACTCTGGTCAGCCCTTTTACAATGAGTCAGCTGAAGGCTCTTATGCTAAATTTGGAGGGAAATCAAGAATCATAGATGGATATCAACATACAGGTCTCTCAGTCTTAGCAATTCTGGAGTTTGAGTGCCAGTAATTCTTAGCCCTTAGTGTTATAACTGAGCTTTGGGTTCTTGGGCCTTTTAACTCTTAGTGTTACAGCTTCCAGCAGTTGCCAGTTGACCCTATCAGCTCTTGTGTATCTAGGGCTTATACTTCCTTGGCAGCTAGAGCATTTCCAACAGCTTGTACTGCCGTTCTAGGGCTCCTCCCCTGGTCACCAGCTCTATGCTCCTCTCTGGAGCACGTCATGGCTAATAACCAGTTATTACTTCCTTTTAGTACAATCTGCTCAGCTCTCTGTGCCCAGTATAAGAATCATGAATAGGTAATAGGACCAAGAGTAGGATCACCCGAGCTCAGCTTTTCCTGGGACCCGTGCTGCAGTGTAGGAGGTTAGTGCGCAGGAGGGAGCCCTCCTGAGTGACATAAGGAGTGTGAGAGAATGAATACTGCTTGTATAGAGGAGAAGCATTCCATGCATGCACAGTTTTGTGCATTTTGCAGATCTATTTGGGGTGGGGTAGCAGTGGCAGAGGAAGTAGTGCTATCTGGAGACTACTCAATCATCTGGAGTGCCTGCAGAGCAGAGTCATCTGGGATAGTGAAGCCTGCAGAGGCCAAGGCAAGTATCTCTTTTAAAGTGGCCACAGGCATCTAGGACGGCTTCAGCTGTCATGGCAAGAGCTTACTGAATTTTGAGCGAAGTGGCTGCTTGACTGACAGTTCCCACATTTCTACGAAAATGGTAGGGCTGAAATTGCGACTACCCCACTCTGGAGGAATGTCCAGGAGAAGCGGCTGTGCTGATTATGTCTCACTGGAGTTTGAGGACTTTGAGGGTAGCAGCAGTAATGAGTTTCAGTCCCTCTCTGATGTATGTCCTATCAGGTGCAAATTTCTGGCCACTACTCAGAGAGGAAGCGGCCCCACACGGAGTGGTTAGAACAGGGGAGGAGTTGTGGCTTTCAGCTGAGCAGCAGCTGCTGGAAGTGCCTAGGGAGCCAGCCAGGCCTAGAAGATGGCTGCCAAAGCAACAGCAGAGGGGCTGGCAGGAAGAGGCCTGAGCACCCTCAGGGTAGTGAAAGGGGGACGGCCTGACAGCTGTCAGTCAGGTCACACTCCCTCTGACTGTCAGAAATGGGAAGATTTGGGCCTCCTTTTCCTTTCTTTAGTGGGTCCCATTTGGATACAATCAGTAGAGTGCAAGGTCCTTGGTTCTCCAGCCTCATTTGCTGCTACTCTTCTTTCCCTTGTTCATTCCCCAGCTACATTAGCTCACCTTAAACATGCAAAGGAAGCTGTATCTGCAGACCCTTGCACTGGCTGTTCCCTCGGCCTGGAATGCACTTTCCTTGCATCTTCATATACCTAACTACCTTTCTTCCTTCAAATCCTTGCTCAAGGGTTACCTTCTTTAGGAGGCCTACTCTGACCACCTTACATTATTTAAATTTGCGACCCTCCCTTACCCGCAAAGTCCCTTTCCATCTTGTATTCCTTTCCTTCATAGCACTAGGTACTTTTCCATCATACCGTAGATTTTAATTTTTGTATGGAGTGTAGATTGCTTGTCTGCCTTCCTCTTTTGGGGGTAATTCCAGGAGTGTATGTATTTTTGTATGTTTTATTTACTGATGATAACCCAGGCAACCAGAACAGTGTCTGGCACAGAATAAGTCTCAGTAAATACTGTTAAATTTATTCAGATTGGGCCAGACTGAGAGGAGGGAGAGGGAAAAGAGAGAGTGAGAGGGACAGAGACTGACAAGTGACCAAGTGTCAAGTACAAATTTACAAGAGGCTCATATTGCACTTCCATATTTTTCCCATATTTACCAAAAACTGTCTCCGTTTTTAAAAGGAGCTATTCTATATTACACTCACTCCTTCTAGGGCCTCCTAGAATCTTTTTATTCTGCTCTACAAGACTAAAGTAAGAACTTCCACTAACTCCTAGGAATCCATCCTCAGAGTATAGTGAAAGATAAAAATGAACTTTTAGTTACAATTTATACTGAGTACAGATTAATATAGCTATAGCTTAACATAACAAACCTAGAAAAAAATCAGGAAAATATGTGCCTCTGTTGAATTTATTTATCTAACATGGAATGGAAATAATAGAAGAGGTCAGAAGATAAATCGTGGGATTGGGTGTTTTACAACATAAAACTAAGAGAGAAAAGTAACAAAATCCATGTACTAATTGTCCTTGATTTTTTTTTCCTTTGGAGCTACCCAGTTTAGTGCATAAACTGCAGAGTTGGCTCTGCTGAGGCAGGAGGGATATGTACTTGGGACATAACCAAAATTATTCCCTGTCGGAGATGTTCCAACATGTAAGAAGAGGCTGCTCTTACACCTAAGGAAGTCCACAGTGCCTGTGTATCTCTTCTACAAGATAGCTTAAACTAGACATTGTTACAAGGCATACACATGAAATAGTTTTGGAAGAATTAGATTAAAGAAATCATTTCTGAATAATGGTAAAAAATAACTTCTGAGTTGTACATGGTAACATGTTCGCACCGCAGAGCACGGGAACCGTGGGGAACAGATTTCTTATAACTGCTAGTAACCACTGTGGTGTGCCTTGGGATTTGGATTCTCTACCATAGCTTTCACTAGAGTACAATGTTGGGGAAGAGGGATGCTCAGAGCAGTACCAATCTGCTGCCTGCCTCAGAACAGGCACTGGGGTGTTCCTCCTCAGCGACAAAGGCTTCCCTCCTCTCCACTTTTGTGTCCTAAGGTCAATTTAAACTGCATTTGTTTCACACCATGAGAAACATAAGTGAAGTTTAAAATGTTTTGAAAAGGCTGAGACAGATTTAGCTAGCGCTGCGGTTTATCTTCAAGATAAAAAAGAAAAGCAAAATTCATAAAAGTGTACGCATACTGTTCTCCCATTTGTGAAAAGATACCACACATAAATTTGTTATCTGCATGAGGAAATTCTGGAAAAACAGACATGTAAGAAGCGCTGGGGATCAGAGGCAGGGGAGAGACACATTTTACTTTAAAATGTTAAAGAAATACAAAAGAAAATTTTCATCTTTTTAAAAACCATGAAGCATTTTCAATTAAAACTTTATTAAAAGTTTAATCCATTTCTCTAAATTTCATGACCCTAACTTTGCAAACATCACTTTTAAATGTCTTAATTTTAAACTCGTAAGAGTTGTTCAAAATAACGAATCTATATTGGAGGGTGGGTACCAGGAATCGAACTCAGGAGCTTGAGCTTGCCAGGCAGGCGCTTGTGCCGCTGAGCTATATCCCCAGCACGAATTCCCATTCTGAGCCCCAAATTGTGCACCTCTTTTAATGTCGAAGACCAAGTCCAATCTGAGGCAGAGACTCGGCCAATTATGACCTACAATGCACACAATATATTCACATTAACTCCAATGCTTCATGCAACCGACGGCCAAGATACAAGACACGATTTATTTTTTAGTTACGTTTCGGACTGACGGCTACGTCTTTTACCAGCCCTAGCTCCAAGGGAGTCCCCGGGTCCGGCCCGTGGAGCACGGTGGGTGTCCTCCGTCCTCCCGGCCCAACACCCCCGGGGATCTGACCAGGCCGCCGCTCAGCCGGAGCGCCCGCGGTTCGGGCCAAGCGCCGGGCCGAGGCCACCGCCCCCAGCGCCGCGTCACTGGCGCCGG